GCTGAACAGTGAACCTCGGAGGTAACTTCACCACTGAGCTAAAAGGGTATCTGGGGACTGTATTCTCGAGGTTTCTCCAGTCTCCTTTAGGTCTGAGGTGATTTTTAACTATATCACTAAGGAGTGAAGGAGTCCCTGGGTGGTGCAAAGAGTTAACATGCTAAGCAAAAAGTTACAGATTCGAGTCCACCCAGAGGCACCTCAGAAGAAAAACTGGCAGTCTACTTTCAAAACACCAGCAACTGAAAACTCTATTGCTCATAGTTCCACTCTGACACGTGGGGTTGCCATGAGTTGAAATCAACTCCATGGCAACTGGTTCAGGTCTGATTTAAATCTTAAGAATTGTACTAAAATTTTTTCATCAAGACTTTTCAACATTGGCGATTTCTCTCAAACAAAATTACATGTTGTGACAGATTATCCTAATGAGCACATATATTCAACTTCAGTTATTTTATTTTTTCTTTTCTTTGATGATTTCATCAGAACAAAAAGACAGAATCTTGGCTTTTTAAAAAATTTCTTAAATGATGTGATAGAGTTTCACAACTTCCCCTTAGATTTAATAATACCTATTTAGGTGACTTTGGCCAGATGAAAACAAACAATGCGATTTTTGGCAGTCTATCCTGGAAGCAACTGCAACAGCATGCTAAAATTTTATACAAATAATTTTGCAGCACGAGGCAAAATAAACAGGCTACTATCAAGCCTCAGAGTGTAGGCTAAACAGGAAGCTTACAACGTGTGTATGTACATGTGGGCTTGTTGTGTGTGTGTATACATGCATGTGTTGTGTGTGTACACGTGCATGTGTGTGTTATGATTTAAAACGGAAATATACTTAGTTTCTTAGTACACGAATAGAGAAAGGAGTAAATAGGGGGTTATATATATATTTTCTCATTGCAATGATAGTTTACTTTATCCATTAGCTGTAAACTATATGATTTATAGTTTGTACTTTGTCCTGATTCAGCTTATGTGCTGCCCCAGAATTGCTCAACGCCACCTATCAGTCCATCATGGGCCACTGCTGCATGCCTTGCCTCCCAGTCCCCTTGCAATAGTTCATGCTATTCCTAGGGCTATAAAGCCTGGAACACCGCTGCTACCCTAGCCCAAGCCACCGTTACATAAAGTGCTCACTGACAAGGAAAACTCTCCATGTCTCACTCACCAAGAACTTTGGCTTGCTAGGGGACTATCTGGAAGGACTGTGTAATTAATAACATGTGGGTGGACCTTGACCAATGATAGACAAGAGTGAAACTGCTCTCACTCCCCATCCAGCCTGGATTGTGGTAAGACATAGTGTAGTTAACATGGCCTCATAATCCCACATGGCCTAGCAAGCTCTGTGTTTCTTCCAAAGTTGTGGCCCACTCAGTAATGCACCATTATTTGACTTCTCTTCTTCCCCATCTCACTTCCCTTTTTCCCTCACTCCTGCTCTTCTGGGCTTGCAACTCCAAAAAGCATTATCTTAAAAGGCTTACCTCTGACAGTGTTTTTTAGGAATCTGAACTGACATGTATTAAGGGTTCCAATAGTTAAAAGAAATGTATGTTTTATCATTTCATTAAAAATATTCTCAAATTCTGCATGGAAATTTATGCAGTTTTTACAGGCAAGTTTTACCTACTATGGGTTCCATCGATATAGCTATTAAAGTAAATTTATATTTATACATATAGGAAGTAGAAAAATCTCTCTTTTGATTGGGTTTACCCTTCTTCCCATTTTCTAACCCCGTCCTCAGCTCTGGAGATTGGGAATAGGGGTGGGAGATTCATGTAACTAAAACTTGGAAGCGTTTTATCAGATGACATTTAAAGTTATTAGATAACAAGGGCTACTGCTGAATCAGCAATGCTGAGAAACTGACTTGGATTGAACCCATGATGTTTAAAAATTCTATGATACATTTATTAAGATGATAATCCAAAAGCAAAGTACATAGTGAAAGCATTACAGTGAATATAAAGTTAAAAATATAAAGGTTATTCTTGTTCAGGCCATAAATGTCACCTGCCAGGAAAGAAAAAAATCAGTGTTCCTTGAAGTGGAGTATATTTTATTCCTAAAGCTTTCAGCTCATCAAAACCTTGCAAGACTACACGATACGAACACTGACCTGTGAATAGGTACCAGAGGTTGTTTGGCTCCAGTGTTTCCATCTCACCCCTGCGGGTCGTTTTTCTGTGTCGAATTTTATAGCCTGTAATAAATCCATTTTGTGTTTCTGATGGAGGAGGCAGCCAGCTTATTTTGATACTCTGTAAAATAAGAGATATAAATTAAAACATTGGGGAAAGGAAGGATCCAAAGGACCTAGAGTCAAAGAAGTGACCCAACCCTAAGTGTGAATAAGGCAGAGAGGTATGAAGTATTAGGGATTGCCCCTTACAACCAAATTAAATCCATTCTTACAATCTGATGGCACTCCTATTGGTCTGATTTTAACAAAAATACACAATTCATTTGATTGGTTATATGTATTATTATCTCTCCCTTGCAAAACACCAATAAATGATAAGAAAAAAATTTTTAAACGTGTAAAATCCTAAAGAGATACTAAAAAACAAACAAACCCATTGCTGTCAAGTCAATTCTGACTCACAGCGACTCTATAGGTCAGAGTAAGACTGCCCAATAGGGTTTCCAAGGAGCAACTGGTAGATTCAAACTGCTGACTTTTTGGTTAGCAGCTGGCTCTTAACCACTGTGCCAGCAGGGCATACAGAACAGGATTATAGTGGGTGAGAGATGTCAACAAACATTTGGAAGTTATACATTGGAGGGAGGTGTGGTGACTGAACATAAGGAAGAGGCTAAAACCTGAATATTTAAGATATACTGATAAAAAGCAAGGAAATTTGCATAACAGAATTGAGGAAAACTTGGAAATTAGTGTTTGCTAAATGTCTTGAAAGGCAGGGCTAAGACATGGTGCTGAAGTAGGGGGTGGATTGAAAGTCATAAAGATGAGTTAGTCCCCCAGGTTTCTACACACACCCAGTAAATCCAGTCTCCCAATCCTCCCTGACTTTGGAGTAGGTGAGAGCTATATTCTCTGAGGATATAGAAACAGAGGTCATATACTCACAAATATCAGGCAGAGAAGAGAATGGGGATGAGGGCAAGAGTTATTAAGTCAAAGATTTGAACTGTAACGTGAGACTCCCAAACCTTCTTCCTTTATCTGACACCATAAGCAATGGCAACCAAGCCAAATTCCTTCTCTAGAGAAAATGAATAGCTAGGACCTATAGAAAACAAGAGCTGAGTGTCTTATCAATCCCCTAATCGTGACACCCACCATTTAACAAGCCCTTTTCGTGCACTAGAATTTGCAACTTGCAATCAGCTTTTGAAGGAGTCCTGGTGGCACAGAGGTTAAGCACTCAGCTGCTAACTGAAAGGGTGAAAGTTCGAACCCAACAGCCACTTCTATAAATTGGTATGAGTTGGAATCCACTTGATGGCAATGGGTTTTGTTTTAGGTTGGAATCAGCTTCTGAGAATTTCACTTTTAATTTGAACCGACAATATAAGACTACCAGACATCAAAGAAACCCTCCAGCATGAAAAACAGGCAAACATATATAAAAAGAAAATGGCACCTGAAGAAAACAATAATGCATATAGCAGAAAAATAATCCAATACCATCATTAATACCTTGGTAATCTAAGAGAAGACAGTGCATCCATTAAAAAAGAACTGGAGAAAAATACAGGAATAATGACAGTTTAAGAAAAAAATTTCTGGCAATTGTAATTTGATTGTAGAAATTAACAATTCAATAGCTGAGTTGGAAGACAAGTAAAAAGAAATCTCTCAGAATTCAGGAGGAAAGTAAGCCATAGGAAATCAGAGAAAAAAGAAAAGAAATTAAGATTTAATTTAAAATTTCCAACACCCAACTATTAAGGTGAGAGAATGAAAAATCAGGAAAAATAGAAGGCAGCAAATTAGCAAAAAACAAAACAGAACAAAACAACAACAGCAAAAAAAAAAAAAACACTACCATTAAAAATCTTAAGAACTGGAAGACTTGGCACTCTAGTCTGAAAGGCATTGTGGAATGTCTGACATAATAAATGAAAGATAACTGCATCAAGGCAAGTTGATGTGAAATACTAGCGCACTGGGAAAGGGGATCCAAAAATTTTCATAAAGGGAAAAACAAAAAAAACAGGTCACATAAAAAATCATCAGGACTAAGAATGACATCACATTTCTCAACAACATTTGAACTGAGAAAACAATGGAACAATGCTTAAAATATTCTAATCATAGAAGATTTTAAAGCTAGAATTTTATATATATAGCCAAATAAACAATCAATAAAGAGAGTATAATACAAGCATAACAGTATGTACTTGTATAAGAACAATCATATTTAGCAGAGAGCCAATGAAAATGAGGGAAATCCTCAATGAAGATGGATTGACGTGATGGCTGCAACAATGGACTCAAGCATACCAACAATCATGAAGATGGCATAGGACCTAACAACATTCCATTCTGTTATTAATGGTATGCCTGTAATACCTTGGAAACCCTGGTGGGGTAGTGGTTAAGTACTATGGCTGCTAACCAAAGGGTCTGCAGTTTGAATCCGCCAGGCACTTCTTGGAAACTCTATGGGGCAGTTCTACTCTGTCCTATAGGGTCGCTATGAGTTGGAACCGACTCAATGGCAATCGGTTTGGTTTGGTTTTGGTTTTATAACACCTTGGTAGAAATTTAAATAGTTTTTTAAAATAAATCCACAAAGCTTTTCCCTCAAGGTGATTAAAACAAATAACTGGCTGTTACAAAGAGTCCAGACTGAAAACCAAGGAATGGATTTCTGAGCCATCTGGGCCACAACCTCAGGACCTCTTTGACCTCTTTTTAACTATGTGGCAGTGTGGCAGAGAAGAAGCAGGACTCTCCAGGGAGACAGAAGTCCCAGCTTCTTTTTCCAGCTCTACTACTGATTAACTGGTGCTCTACAAACAACTAAGTTCCTTTGTGGAAGGAAAGAAAAACATCTAAAGTCACAGTCACTTGCTAAGGAATTTAACAATTTCAGAGTGTGCAAACTAATTACATAATAGATATGTTGTAATTATTTTAGATGGACCTGGTTGCATAGAATTGATCTGATTAGTTGAGTTGTTAGAATATATTTAAAGAGTATGGCAATACTGACATCATTTAGTTCACCCCTACTACCCTTTAAACTGAAAAACTAAATATCACTTCTATTAACACTTGCTACCAATTTTTGAACTTACAATAGGCCTGGCTAAACTCTGTACATTAATTATGTTATTTAATCCTCACAATGACCTTATGAGTAGGGTCTATTGTTATATCCTTTGTATATTTAAGTAATCTGGAAAGAAGTGGTTAAGTAACTTTAAAGTCGTTTAAGAAGTACGTAGTAGATGCAGGGTTTGAAAAGAGATAACATGAGTTGGAAGCTGGTGTTCTTTACCATATCACCTCTCAAGGGAAGTTCAAGAGGTTGAGTGTCTAATTCATTTAGTTATTATTCTCGAGATACATTAAGTGTATCCCTGCTGTGTTGCAAGCATTATCCTTGGGACTGAGGAAACAAAACTGAATAAGTCATGGTGTGTCCATTCTGGCCAAGGAAATCGACACATAAACTAATAAAAGCAACACAAAAATGCTAACTGCTAAAATAGGGATTCCCAGAAAATACAATGGGAGTCTACTAGAGGGAGAGATGAAGTCTGCCTTATGTGGCCAAGGAAGACTTTGCAAGAAGCTCATCCTTCAAGTGTGAGTAGGATTCCACGAAGGTAATGGAAAAGTATTTAAGACAGAAGGAATATCAAGAACAGATTCAAAATATCATGAAAATATAGAGCATCTTCAAGTGAATGAGTAGTTCCTTAGTAGCTAGAGCAAAGGGGCTTTATAGGACCATATAATGAAAAGTAGATTGGAAAAAAAATTCAAAAAGAAATCTTCTGGGCGATTCTAAAGAGATATGGTTAGACCAATGTGTGCATTTAAAGCATTTGGATACGTTCTTTGGGAGATAAACTAATACGTAAAATAATAATATACTGTCCTTGGCTTCAGAAGAACTCATAGCCTTAAGCACACACACATACACACACATGCACACGTGTGAACATGTTCTTTGATCTCTAGTAGTAGAATTACATGACCAGCTACATTTATGCTTATATTCTATTACTCACTATATTTTTATGTTTCAACATTTTGAGGTAGCTGTAGCAGATATTACCACCATTTTATAAGTTTACAAAGGAGGAAATTGAGGCAGAGTTAAATGAATGACTGGTCTGAGGTCACCCTGCACCATCACTGGATGATTTTGCAACTGTTGAGTCCCAGGTTCTTTTTTTCATTTCATACTAAAATAAGGAATCCATAGAGCCTCTACTGGACATTCTATTCATTTACATTCTCCTAGAAAATATTCTTGAAAGGAACAAAACTAAATTTAAATGACTAATTTTTAAATACATCCTGTATGTCTTCCCACAAGCAGCCCTTGGAAAATCAAGGGCCTTTTCCTAAGGGATATAAGCTTATTTTTTAAAGTCCAAATTAAATTAAAACAGAAAATGAAACTACAAATGTAGATATTAAACCTTAGACCAAGAGTTAGATCTTCTGAATTTCAGTTAACTCTTTGCTATGGTTTTGCAGTGAGCTCATGTTAGTCTTACAAATGATCTAAATCTCAATGTACACATTGAAAAGGGGAGAGAAATCATGCTTAGTATGTCTACCCAATGATTGTAAATTACTTGACAAGTGTACAGAACCTAATTATACTGATGACTACATGGGTAATACTTAGTTTTTGACAGATAATAATTTTCTTTATATTTGATGATTTCCAGTGATTGTATAAATTACTCCCACATAACTGATACCTTAATATCAATGCCTAGTAGCAATTAATTAATAGAATCAGTTAGACACTCTGCATGCCAGGAGGTGAGCCTCTCAATAGTTATTATTAATCTTTGGAAGTGATTCTATTATCTTATTCATCCTCATTTCTGGGTAGCAGAATTAATAGATCTTTTATGCTTTCTCATTGATTTCAAGCAAGTGCTAGACGATTGCAAAGACCAGTGATCAAATTCTTTCTGCTTAGGTTCTTCTTCTGCAGATGATACAACTAGATGTCCCAAATTATACTATTTGGGGGAAGTTAAATATGTGTTTTTTAGCCACTTTTTCTTATTTAATAATATAATGTATCTTACTGTC